GGTATCGGTATCGGCGAGTACTGAAATGCAAGTACTCGTACTCGTACTCGTTTTCAAAAAAGTGGTATCGGTGCATCCCTAATATGAATCCAAAATATCCTAATTGAAAATGAAAAAAGGGTTTTGTGCAAGCGCACTGCTGAGATTTCAGTGAAGTTATACTCTATTCCAAAGGAATGAACACTCACAGACACATTATTATTATTATTATTATTATTATTATTATTATTTCACCACATCAGTAGTGAAATACTATGTGCTGTTTTTTTAGAATGAAATTAATTGAATTCTGCAAGTCAACCTTAATTCAAATAAATATTTTCTCACAACACTTTGCACTCTGAAAAACAAGCTCCTTCTAATACAATATGCACTAATATCTGTGTCCATGCAAAACTGCACATCTTTAGGCCCCAGTCACACACCACTAGTGAATGATTGGAAGCTGCCTTTCATCCCTTGGTTGTTAGACAAAATTTTCCAGTAGAGGTTATTCGCAGTCGTGTATTGCCCGACCACTTGGCAAATGCGGGAACTAACTTGCTCTCACAAGCTAAAATTGGTCAAAAAGAGGTATACAGTGCCGCACAAAAAAGCCTCCTTGCAAATGTTTATTCAGTAACAGATTGCCACAGTCGCCAAACAGCCAGACCTGTCTGACAACACTTGCTAAGTACTTGATATAAGTGGTAGTAAAACTGTGAAAAGTGCAACACACGTTGGAAATGGAGACAATTCACCTCTGATGCATGCAAACTACAGGCGACCACAGCAATCTGGTAGCAACCACAAGGAAAATATTAAAAATATTTATAAATATTTTAATAATATTAAAAACTGTAATCTGTATTGTAAGACACAACAATATAAAGTGACTTAAGCCAGCTGTTGTTGTGAATTGGCACTGTATAAATAAAGCTGAACTGTTCAAGAGCAATAGGAGGATTAGAGGCGCCTGGGAAGGGCAGGGCAACACGATAACAAGATAACAAGATAACAAGATAACAAGATTGTTGAATTCTCAAACAGTAAAGTTACTGAGAGATGTACACCTTCCAGAATTTGTTTTTTAAGAAAAGTATGTTTTTATGCTCTGAAACATTTCACAGTATCTGTTGAGTGGTAAGACTTCTAAGGATTTTCACCTTTTAAATTTTTGATTGTATCAGGTCTCTTAATCAATATCTGTGGTAAATGAACTGATCCAATAAATCTTACTATCACCGCTGTCCTGTATCAAAGTTTGGTCTGTTTCATTCAAAAAATAACCCTTCAGTTCTTTTTTGATCACGTCTAGTCGATGCATGACTTTCACTTGCCTTTCTGAGGGTTTTTTTTTTTTGCCTGTCTGCATATCCTTGGACTATAATAGGAGTGTGAACTTCTTTCAGTAACACTGATATGTTTCCAGGCTGCTCCTTAGGATCAATATATAATACTGATTTAAATTTCATGGAGCAGAAAAAATATTTAACATTAACTGACCATTGTGTGTGTGTGTGTGTGTGTGTGTGTGTGTGTGTGTGTGTGTGTGTGTGTTTATTCAGATCTGATTTTTGAAACAATAAAATGTTAACTTTGACATAAAGAGATCTGAAATATTACTGGGATGTAAAAACTGTGGTCTTAGGGCCTGGAAGGCAAAGGGACCCAAACAAAAAGTCATTTGCTGGACGGTTTGGCTGCTCCAAGGATTTCAAGACTATACGGTGGTTTCATTCTTCCAGGGGCCTGTCCGTATGTTTCCTGTGGCATCTGAACCAAACAGGCTATCTTCCTGCAGACTCCTGTTTCGACCAATGGGTCCCCGTCGGTTCACAGTGCCATGCTGCCGAGGTAGGGTGTTCCTTGGGAAACCTTTCTGTTCCAGCTCTAGACAGATCTTTTCTTTGTCTGCCATCTTTGACATCCAGCTCAAATGGCCAGGGTCTTGTTCATACTGCAAGGTGACGGGATCAGCTCTCTCACAACAGTTTGTGCTGGAAGAGTCATCGACTGAGCAGTACATGCGCCACTGACTCGTGTCGTCCCCATGAGAAGGCATAAGAAGGCTGTGGCAGGAAGAGATACTGTCATGCATGTTGTGGGCATGACTGTGACAGGAAGCAACCGAGTCTTGCACGCTGTGGCAGGAGGTCTGGCGTTCCAAGCTGTGACAGGACACTACAAGTTGGCTATCTAAATGAGGGCTGATGTACGGAAGCTGGAGATCTGGGTGTGGACTATTAGAAACCAGTGGTGAGGCTTCAATGTGGTGCACATTATGAGGACTGTCCAGGTGAGTACTGTGCACACTCCCATCCATACTGGTGGAAGTGATATGAGACCGGTAATCCTGGAAGCATTGGCGTGGACGGTTGAAAGAGCGTGTCTTTGTTCTATCAGCAATGCAACTCTGCAGGGGAAGAGCTGGATGAGGGAGCTCATCAGGAAGTGACTGTGGACGTGGTGAAGGCATTTGGTCAGCACGAGGTGAGATGGGGGAAGGGCTAACAGGAGTCATTACAGCCACACAGCAGGGACCTGTGTGATTTAATGCTGGGCTTTGGGAAGGTGGTGTTGTTCTGTGGTGAGAACTCTGAATGGGGTAAGGAGAAAGCATCTGCTGCTTCACTGAGAGTGGGGAATTCAAATGGCAGTGTGGCTGATGGAGTTCCTGCCTCTGGCTCTGTCCTCCCCCAGGCCCATCCTCTGTCTTTGATCTGCATGGGCAACAAGCCCACCAACGGTGCCACACGTCATCACGCTTAGCACAGTGCTGGATGAGAAGGAAGAGTCCCAGAGTGACACAAAAAGCACCATAGAGACAACTGAATATCATGTCCAGGAAATGTCCCAGTGAAACAGCCAATGCTCCCAAAGTCCAGGTAGCCAGGAACAGGAAGAGGGTGAAGACTGTGGCCCGGAGTTGAGATTTAAAAGAGTGCTCATTGGCCAGAACTGACACGCCAGCAGCAAAGGGCTGGCAGTCCCCAGCAGACCCAGTGTCAGCGTGGCAGTGATGGTGCGACTCATTTGATGACAGCTGTTGCTGCTCTTCACTTAAAACCCGCAGCTCATACTTCCTTTCTGGGTGGCGCCTCAGCTGGACGTAAGTCCACAAGAAGTACACACACATGACTAAGACCAGAAGACTCATGGGAGCATAGAAACCACCCAGACTTGGTTCCCATGCCATCCAGCAACTAAAAAAATGAAAAAAGAAAGATCTTTTTTTTTTAATGTTCTATATTTAACAACAAATAATAATCTGAGTATACTTACTACAGTGCATCATCTCTGCTGCCATAGTTATCCATACCAAATGCTGCTGTAACTCCAACTATTATGAT